CAGCTTTGCTTCCAAAAAAGTATTTTTATCCAGGATGGAGTGGACTGCAGTTTCGACCTCGTCTAGGTTTCATCAGCACCAACAGTGGAACTCGACACCGGATAGTGCAGTCTCGATAGTCTCTATAAGTTATTTTCAAAACTGTCATAAGTGCCCTTTAGTCACATGGCAGACATTAACTTCAAGGAAAGCCAGGCCTTTCTCATATAACTTCATTGAATTATTGATGAAGCATCCTAGCTGCAGTCCATTCTGGGTGAGAATACGTTTTTGGAGGCAAGGCTATGTGAAATTAAATTTAAACGTGAGGCCTAGTGATATGATTGTGGGAAAATTCAACTACCAGGCCTTGGTCTGTTGACAATCTAATTGATCGCTTTGTCACTTATGGAGCAATTCCTAATCTTTATATTGTCAGATGATATACATTTTCCGCAATGATAATTAATATTTAAACCAGAAGGAAAAGGAAAGGCTTGATTTATCTCTGAAAGTGAGCTCTTCTCAAGGATACAGTGATCTTGTGAATACTACATGTCTCTCTACTAATGGCATGGTTCTAAATCAGAGCATATGTGTTCTAGTTCATTCACGGGGAGTCTAGAGTTATAAAGCAAAACAGAACTTTCTTAATATGCATATTAACTATTGACTGTATTGAGATGTAGCAACTTGTTTGCTAAATGCTTTGTCTACAAGAACATTTTTGAATTTCGATGCAGTATAAACTTTTTATTAGGCTTATCATATTTTAAAAGGCCTTTCAATTCATTCCTGCGTCGTAACGTGATGCGATTCTCATAGTTTAGAGTAAATATTTATGCGGCTAAACTCGCGAATTCCGGCTTCCAAACATGTCGCGAGTGCTTATGAGCTCAGGTTGATATGGTGACTCATATTCTTCTATTAAGAGGTGAGATTTTAATACCCATTATGATGAAATAATACGGCAGATTTAAGAATCCTACCAATTTGGGATAATTTATATACCTGTTCCCCTGGAAGCAAGCGATAAGGCAACTGTTTTATCCAGATTTTTCTAAAATTAATATTTTTCTAGAAAGTAAATCTACGTGAGCTATCGTTTTGTTAGATCTCTTGTTAAAACGATATACAAGTAATATATCTTTATGTGCTTAAATGACCTTGGGTTATGAAGGATTTTCTTTTAATTTATTATTATTACTACTATTTTATACTCTTATCAGGTGATGGAAAACTCGTTTCCAGTCAGTTCCTCTACAGTCAGTTGGCACCCAACATTTACATAGAACATCGCACTGGCTTTCATACCGAACCAGTCGGCCAATTCGAGCGGTTTCGCAGTAGCGAGAAAGAGGCTGCCATTGGCGCAACTGCTGAGTTGAGAATTTTGGACCATACCGATGGTAACTTTGTGATCATTTCAATGTTATTTTTGTGCATAAACGTCAGCAGCAGACGCGTTTAGGTGTGCTTTGAGATGATTGTTCACTTTTCTCAAATCCCTGTTGAGATGCCTAGCGTCTTACCCACATGTCGACTCAACTTTTTCTACTCACTATTATTTAACCTCAGAAGTTGTGAACCACTATAGTTTATTGCAAAGTTGTTTAGAAATGCGCCAGTCTTGATCCGTTTTTAATAGCAACTCCACTCATGGTGAATTACAGAGAAGGCTTGACTATTCCATATAAATTTACTTTGTCATGCGTCCAAAAGTGACCCCTCAAGGGGTCCAATATACACTTCATTTTATGTGATAATAGCCTTTGCTTGCACCTTTTCTAATAAAACTAGTTGATTTG